CTTGATTCCATTCCTACATATGTCTTAATATCTGGGATACGATTTGTTCCCATGCCAATGGCTGCACCCGGTACTGATAAGTCATGTGCATCCGAGTCAATCTTGATGCGCTTGATATATGCTAAGATGCAGTCACGACGCAAACAAGCTTGTACATAGTAGCATCTCCAACATACCGTTGCAACATCCAAATACAATTCGCCGCTTGCACAAGGCATGGCCGAAGGGTGGCCCACTTGCATAAGGCTTCATACTAGTTAGTCATCTCGATTCATTGATTCGGAGCTTCGGACACGACGGTCTGATTCATATCTGATACTGCCGAGTTTGAATATTATTGAGAACTCACGAATCCTGCATCGGAGGCTACTTAGAAGCTGAAAGTCGATGGAAAAGGTCTGATTGCCTCACTCCATTAGTGAATGTATCATTCTTCAGGAACAAGCATCGGACGTTTGAAGCAACCGTTGCCATTAACCTGAACTTCACGACCCTGCTAAAACCTTAATAAGTACTATGCATAGTCGAGCAAATGATGTACCTGGCCTTGCTCGTCGACAACTGTCTGCTCCTGGCTGCATCCGAGAGCACGCGCTGCGAATCCGTCTTGAGGGGCCACTTCCTGCAAATATCATCAGTCATCGTCAAGGCTGGGGACCAGACCGCCATGTAATACAACACACAGAAAGACGAGCAATGCTAGCGCGCACATCTGGGCCTTCAACTAGTACATACTGTATCCGCATCTTGGTGAAGTCACTAACTGCAAGCTCTATGCTGCAGGTACGATCGCATATTCACCTCTGGAAGCAGTCGTGGGGACAGCAGATGCTCTCCCTCAGAGTCTTGCGAGAAGATGATGCGGCCACGCTTCCTGTCAAGCGCTTGCCCTGTCAATATCATGGGGCTGAGGTCCTCTTCGAGAGAATCTTCGCCTGACAACCTCTTGCCCACACCGCCGTGCTGCTGCTCAACTAAGGGGCGGCGAGACGGAGCCATCTGTGAAATTCGACAAGTGCAGGATGTCAAATATGGATGCAAGCAAACCCCAATGAGCAGCCATTAACAAAGGGTGTTGCGCCGCATACAGCCGTGTAGCATGACCCTCGAAAACTTGATGTTGTTCATGCTTCAATCAAGTTAGAGGCACACCCATGACAACCAGCTGCAACAAGTCACTGCCAAGCTTGCACGAATAGCCGCCTTCAGGCTTCCGTTCTTACCTTGCGTATGCACGGTGGTGGTGTGCCGAATCCCTTCTTGAAAGCGCTGCCAGAGGTCCAAGGGAACGGAGAGGTAGGTGAGAACCCCTGGACAAGTATATAGGGGGACGAGAGTAAGTGAAAGTGCTCGTGCGTCAGCCGTGCCTGAGATCGATCGGGAACAAATATTGATTCCATTTCTATAGATGTCTTAATATCTGGGACACGATTTGTTCCCGCCATATTTATGAGCACCGCAGCAACTGGTCTAGAGACACATTTTATGAATGCAAGGTCACGCTAGACTGCATTCTGCCAGGATGCTAGAAGCAGACTAAAGCGCGGCTAGAAAGAATCAAACTGCGAAGTCCCTGATAGTCTGGCCCATGGATGTATATGGACTTGGGATAGAGCAAGGTCTGCCAACCACATTGAAGCAATGTGTGAGTGACTCACCGGAGCGCGGCTCTTCCTGCTCTTCTCAAGACGTTTCGGCAGTTGAGCTGGGCTGAGACTGTTTTCATTTGTGAGAGCCCGGTAGAAGTTCGGGCCTTGAATGCTTGCGGAGTCTCCGTCATTCAAGAAATCCTCTAGAGAACGTCCAGACTTGGACCCGTCAACAGACCGATCAGCGTACTCAACACCTTCAATGTCCTCGCCTTGGGTTTCGTCAGAAGCAGATGAGCCGCTGGAGAAGAGAAAAACAGGCGCACATCAGCTGACTGTTGACCAGGGTTGGTATGAACAGCGGATGGCATTCTGATTTCAGCTTCTCATGCAGCTTATCAGTCTGTGACTTGCGAATGAGCTGGCAGCGCTACTAGCAAGTAGCCAGCTGAGATTCAGCTCAAAGCCCCCCATCTCTGCTAGCAGGATGGGCGACGCACCCCGCTGCCTGACTACGCTAAGCAGTCTTGCTGATTTTCCTCACAGATGCATGAGCTGCCTGCTTACTACTTGTTTTTCCATTCTCATGAAGCCACGAGAGCTAGGCCTTGCAGACCCCAAGATCTAATCTAATTGAAGGCTCCTATTTGGCCATGCATATTGAGGGGAAGAAGTTATTCCTGCAACCTTCGCTAAGTGCAAAGAGCGGGACTGTATTGACGGAGAGGCCATTCAAAAAGAAGCGTTTCCACAATTGAGGCAAAGCCAGAGGTCACAAACACGCAATGCAGCTAGCAGCGCTTACCTTTCCCAATGGAAACGCAGGTTGGAAGCCATTGCCCCGCAGCTCTTAATTGCAGCTTCAGTGGTGGTGCTCTTCGCCAGCTATTTTGATGGCGCTGCTCCTATAATGCCGACGGCTTGAAGTTAAGTGTACTGGAGCTCAACTTTGGCAGCTCAACGTGCGGTAACTTGATGCTGGTGACCCCAGATCGAGCAGGCTGCGCACAGTTTCTGATGCCCAAGGCTGTGGAGCTGCCCTCCACCACCTAACCAGCTCAAGTTGCTGGTAGCCAGCTTCCACCCTGCAAGATTAGGCCGGCAGTGTCAGAGTATTCTATGGTGTGGTGAAAAGCGAAGCTAGTCACTCGGACGTGACGCTGAGACTGGAGAGAATGCTTGCGGCGGCTTGCTCCCATTTGTCCATCTGCACAGGCCAAGACTAAGCAACTAACCATGGCTCCAGCCACAGAAGAACAGGTTCCGGCCGCACAGGCACCACCCACAGAGAACGGTGCAGCAAGTCAAGAGGACGCACAGGAAGAGGACGCACTGGAAGTCACCCCAGCTTACAGCTCGGCGATCTTGCTTGCTCTCTGCCTCTGCGAGGCGCTCAGTCAAAGACCGGATCGCGACGCCCACCTCGCCGTCCTGCTTGTCCTGCTTGTTCTGCCGTTCTGCTTGATGGATGCTGGGTGACCGACGCTGGGAATGAGGCTGCACGTTCGGAACTTCGGAACTTCTCGGAACTTCGGAACTTATTTATTATACTTCGGGCCTTGGGGGCGGTGGATGCTGGAAATGAGAATTTACGTTCAGAACTTTGGAATTTATAGGCCCGCATTGCTGCCACACGGGACGGTCCGGTCGGGACGGTCCGACCAGAAAGGCCCCACATTCATCCACGTATAAGGAGGCAAACTCCGGAATTTTGATTGTGCATCCACGTGGTGCAATGTGAGGGCGACGTATAAGTCCAGAACTGTCCAGGGCCCGGGGCCGTGCGTATATGGCTTCAAGCTTCAAAGTTTGGGACAAGTTTGAACCGTCCCGCTCGGGTCGGGACGGGACCCTTAGCGATCCGTCGAGGCCACCGGCCGGGACGGTCGGGGGGACACGTGGCGGCACGGGAGTGGGCAGTTTTATGCCGGATTTCAGTTGCTGTCACTTCATGCAGTAGACTCCAGCATTGTAACAGCTGCCAGCACAGAAACAAGCTCGCAAGCTGAGAAGGATAACATCTGAGCTTGCAGGGGGCGGAACTGCTAAGCGCCAAGCCGCAAGCGCGGAGTGTTTTCAGGGCAGACTGACGGCCTTCCATACTTGGGAGTTTTGCCTTGATTCAGCGTGTCTGCGATGCCCTCGCTTGTGATTGCCGCTTAAGCGCATTGCAAGGGTTTTCCAAGCTATCAAGCGCTTCAGTGTTTCTTCATTGTGGACAAATCAGTCTTCTCTTTTGTGTGACTGCAGCTGTGACCAGCGGAGCTTCTGCTCAATAGAAAATGGCAAGAAGCCGGCCTTCTGGCAGGTCCAAGTCTGATCACAGGGTCTGCCAGGCTGCTCGCTTTGCACGCGCTGCAGAGTACAGGGAGCGCATCTCAATTAGTGCAGAAAGGCAAGAGATTCTGATCGC